ACCAGCTTTCTAAATTTGCATGTCTTGTCTGGGCGCCCGCGACTTGGCTGGGCATACTCGTACTGGTGCTGCTGACCAAGGAAGAGGGACCTGCTGTTCTGCATCCTGCAGCAGTTTCAGGTCATCCCAAGCTCTCAAGGCTCTTCAAGTGGACACATGGGTGTGGTGCAATTTGGAATTTAGGGTGGGCATTTGTAGTGAGGCTCAGATGAGGCCCTGCTCCTGGAGAAGCCGTAAGTTGGGAGAGAACCTCCTGCCTCAGACAGGTCGGTGGCACCCCTGATAATGTGGCTCAGCTGTGACGATGGCTGTAGGTGACACGTCCCCTCTTGTCCTTGTAATTGTCGTTATTCTAATAAACAGAGCTCAGCTCAGTCAAAGGACAGTTCAATTGCAGATGTAATTTATCCTCCTAAAAGCAAGAGGGTTTAAATTTTAAAATTATCTTTGCTTCCAGCAATTTTTAGCACATGAAAATGGCATTTAACAATACACCAACAAACACATATAAGGACCAAGCACGGTCTGAGCCCTTGGGCGTATTAACTCACAGCCCTCACCACCTCCCACTCTGCCCAGGCTATGGTATCTGCCCCTCCTCCATCCTGTGCTCCTCTTTATTCCAAGCAAAGCCAGTAGTTGGAGGCTCTGCCACACCCACCACGGGGGAGTGACTTTAGACAGCTCTCCAAGGAAAGACTGGAGTGACTTAGTTACCATACTCAAGTATAAAATCTGAGAGATCTTTAAGAAGGACTACTGTCATCTGTGAACATTAGTCATCTTCTAAAAAAGCTGGAGGGAATAGGCTTAAAATAAAATCAAAAACATCAGAAAGAACTTGGAGAAAGCCAGAACGAGGGATGATAGAGAAATGGGATTAAGATATGAGTTTATTTTGGTGCAAAGAAATTTAGAATTCCATGCATAGTTTGCTCAGAATATACATTTTCCACGAACTTTCTGAAGTAGGCGAGCGTGGGTGCGGTAGAGTCCTTGTCCATAGAGTTGCAAGCATTAAGCTGGTGCACCAGGCGGGGAGAGCGGGGGCCTCGGATCCCTTCCTGTCCCTCCTCCGTCCTCCACTCAGCCTCTCAGAGGGGCTTTGCCTTCCTTGCGGAGCCAGCAGCACCTGGCACACAGTGGCTGCAGGAGTGGAGGCCGGACGTGGTGGGTGAAGAAACTGCTCTGGACTCTCTGTTCGCTCCACCCCTCCCCGTCTCTCTGCTCAGCCTCTGCCTTCTCTACCATGGCTTCCTGTGCTCCCTCCCTCCCACCATGAGTGGGATCTCTTTAAAATATGTCTCCAGGGCCAGTTAGTGGCACAGCAATTACTCACCCTCTGCAATACTGAACCCACATGGAAAAGTCCCTGGTTCGCATCCCCAGCTCTCCCTGTACACACCAGGTATGCACGCACGCATGATCATGGCTGGCTGAGGCTGGGGGTCATAGCGTGAAGACCATGTTGAGGTTACCTGTCTCCCTCCTTCCCTTTCTCATTCTCTCTCACATATGGAAGAAATAACCTTTTTTTTTTATTAAAAAATATATAATACAATAGTTTTTTCCTTCCCTTTGTTGAGGTCCCTCAGTGGCTCCCCTGGTGCTCAGGATCAAGACCTCCTTGAAGTCTGCCATTATATGGGCCTTGGTCCCCTCCGCCCTTCCTCTCCCTTGGCGCTCTCCTGCCCACCTATCCTCCACCTACTCTCCTGCCCACCCGCCCTCCAGCGATGCACTGAGAGCTCCAAGCCTGTGCATGCTGTGTCCTTCCTGCAGCCCCCTCCCACCCCCGGCAGCCTCACTGCCACCATCTTGAGTCCCAAACCCTCCTCAGGAGTTCCTGCCTCCAGACTTTGTTCCCTGGGGGACTGCATCACTTTGATGTGAGCACACCATCCTCAGTTTTCTGTGCATCTTGCCCTTACTTCTCTCAGAGAGCTGGCCATGCCGTCCTTCCAGCTGGGCAGTGCATGATCTTCAAAGGCCAGGCCACATCCTGGTTGTCAGGGATACACGGTAAACAAGGCTGCCAGCTGGGGTCTACTCTCCTGGAGTTTGGTCGGGGAGAGGACGTGGCATGAACAAGCAGATGCCCCTGCAGGGTAGCTGCCTTTGTGGTCACCCCTGAAGTGGTCATTCAGAACTCAACCATCCTTAGCAGCTGGTGAGCGCCAACTGCTGCCCCTCCAGCTCACCTGATGCTCACAGCTGCCGAGGAAAGTGCAGCTTCGGGGGGGGCGGGGACAGCTACAAACCCTGGCTCTGGGGCTCTTGTCCACACTGTCCTGAAGCCTGGCACTCACCAGTGCTGAGGTGCTGATGGCTCATCGTGGCCAGACCATCCTCATGGGCTGGGCCTCACCATGTAGGCAAAGATATGCATGCCCTTAGGCCAATCATCTTCCTGCCTAGAGTGATTAAAAACCAAGAGATGGGGGCCAGCAAGTGGAGTAGTGGTTAAGGTACTGGACTCCCACGTGGCTGACCATGGATTTAATCCCGGACCCAGCAGTTTGAAACTAGGTGCGCATGTGGGCCCAAAGTCTCAAGAGGAGAAGGAATTACAACACGGCCATTCCCCGATGGGGTGATTTCTCACTTTCTGTTTCTCTGGCAAGCATATGCAAAAATCTAAAAAAGAAGGCAAGAGAGACTTGTAAGCAAGGCAGTGACTTGATCTGATAGAAGGCCTCTTTGGGGAGAATAGATTGGACAGGGCCCGAAGTCGATGTGGGAAGACCAGTTAAACCAAATCATCCCCGAGGCTAGAGATGATGGTGGTTTGGATGAAGATAGAAGCCATAGACATAGAAGTGAATGGGGAAGAGAGGGTTAAGCCTGTGCATGCTGTGTCCTTCCTGCAGCCCCCTCCCACCCCCGGCAGCCTCACTGCCACCATCTTGAGTCCCAAACCCTCCTCAGGAGTTCCTGCCTCCAGACTTTGTTCCCTGGGGGACTGCATCACTTTGATGTGAGCACACCATCCTCAGTTTTCTGTGCATCTTGCCCTTACTTCTCTCAGAGAGCTGGCCATGCCGTCCTTCCAGCTGGGCAGTGCATGATCTTCAAAGGCCAGGCCACATCCTGGTTGTCAGGGATACACGGTAAACAAGGCTGCCAGCTGGGGTCTACTCTCCTGGAGTTTGGTCGGGGAGAGGACGTGGCATGAACAAGCAGATGCCCCTGCAGGGTAGCTGCCTTTGTGGTCACCCCTGAAGTGGTCATTCAGAACTCAACCATCCTTAGCAGCTGGTGAGCGCCAACTGCTGCCCCTCCAGCTCACCTGATGCTCACAGCTGCCGAGGAAAGTGCAGCTTCGGGGGGGGCGGGGACAGCTACAAACCCTGGCTCTGGGGCTCTTGTCCACACTGTCCTGAAGCCTGGCACTCACCAGTGCTGAGGTGCTGATGGCTCATCGTGGCCAGACCATCCTCATGGGCTGGGCCTCACCATGTAGGCAAAGATATGCATGCCCTTAGGCCAATCATCTTCCTGCCTAGAGTGATTAAAAACCAAGAGATGGGGGCCAGCAAGTGGAGTAGTGGTTAAGGTACTGGACTCCCACGTGGCTGACCATGGATTTAATCCCGGACCCAGCAGTTTGAAACTAGGTGCGCATGTGGGCCCAAAGTCTCAAGAGGAGAAGGAATTACAACACGGCCATTCCCCGATGGGGTGATTTCTCACTTTCTGTTTCTCTGGCAAGCATATGCAAAAATCTAAAAAAGAAGGCAAGAGAGACTTGTAAGCAAGGCAGTGACTTGATCTGATAGAAGGCCTCTTTGGGGAGAATAGATTGGACAGGGCCCGAAGTCGATGTGGGAAGACCAGTTAAACCAAATCATCCCCGAGGCTAGAGATGATGGTGGTTTGGATGAAGATAGAAGCCATAGACATAGAAGTGAATGGGTAAGAGAGGATTCGAGGCAGAAGTGAACAGCACTTGGGCGTTGTTTGGGTGTGGAGGTGAGGACAGGAAGGGGTGGGGCTGAGGATGCCACCTGAGAGTCTGGTATAGGCAGGTGACCAGCTGGCAATAAATGCCATATATGGAGATGAGAATGCAAGGGGTGGAGACAGCACGGCAAGAAAGAATGATGAGGTTGGGGGTACACCTGTGGGCATCTGGGGGCCTCTGAGAGGCAGTGGAAGGCTGAGCCTGAGCACAGGAGAGAGAGTTGGCTGGATATTCCACTTCGAGAGTGTGTGCAGATAGCGTTGAAGCTCAGGAGTGGGTGTTTATTGAGGGAAACTGGGAGAAAACGACGTGCCAGTCTCCACCATGAGCAACTACGGGCACCATCCAGTACTGTAGCCACTAGCCACGTGTGTTTATTTAAATTTCCATTAAAATTAAACATTCAGTTCCTCGGTCACACAGAATCCATGCGGCTAGTAGCTCCTGTAATGGCGCAGAGGATCAGCCACTTCCTTCCTCACGGGCAGTTTTATTGAGCAGTTTTATCTAGGCTCTAGCTTGTGGCTGGTGTCTATCCCCAGTGCCCAGGCAGGCACCAGAAAGTGCAGCTCCATGGACGAGAGACCTTTCCGAAATAATCAGGCAGCCCTCTGGCTGCTAAAGGTCAGGAAAGACTCTTCTTGCACTCTGGGGGGTGGGAGGGGAGGAGGTGTCATTTAAATGAGTGACTGGCCTGGCTGTAGGCTCCACGTGGCCTACACCCCACACGGGCACAGCTGGAATTCTGGAGTGTCACAGTGACGCCCCTCGAGCCAGAGGAGGTCTGTACTCTTTACTGGTTTGTTTGACTTAACTCTTAGTCCTTGCCTAGACCCCGGGGCGATAGCGCAGGGGCCTGTGAACGAGGAAAAGTTCGAGTGCAGTTGAAGATGGCAGAGAGATTTTGCCAGAAGGTCAGATGTTGAACTTTCCTTTTCACAGACTAGTTCTGAACTGTCAGGTCTGTTTGGTTTTCGGCTTTTCTGGTTTTCATCTTTGTTGAGTGTGTGCCTTGGTTCTCTGTTTTCTTTTTCAGTCAGATGTCATGGATCAGAACTTGTTAAATTTCCTTCCAGAACAAGAACATTCCGAAGTTTATAAAATGCTTTCTTCCCATATGCTTGTGACGGATCCCCCCTCCCCAGAGTATTTAAAATGTAAGTTTAGCTTTACTGATTTTTATAAGATAAAAGATAAGAATTTTACTTTTGAAAGGAGGTGAGAATGAATTAAGGAGGGAGGATTAGGTTTAAGAATCATTTTCCTCATGACTAGGAACATTTCCGAAGATCCTTAGAGGTATATTTTAAGTGAAAAGCTCAAGCTCGATTTTGGAATATGTAAGACATTCAGCTTTTATGTGGAAAATTTGAAAGCATAGCGCTTAAGAGTAATAACTTGGTTTGCCTGTGTGACAAGAGATTCTTTTTTTGTACATGAGACTTTCAGTAATAAACAGTGCAAACATTAACGAAGAATCTGCTTACTTATAATGCTGAATTTGTATAATGCCAAGTAACCAACTGAAAACTGAATAATTAGGTCAAAACTCCCAATTCCGTCTTCCCGAGGCTGTCATCTGGTTATTTATATACAGTTGCATTTTTTATGGGATTTTAAAGTTCTTATCAAAATAGTTGGCAACCTGGATGCCCTGCTGCCTACCACACCACGCATGCCCCACCGAAGCAGGCGCAGTGGCACAAGGTAGCAAAGATCCTCGCATGCATTCAAGCCTTCGTCCATTTTCCATGAATAATTTGTTCTGTCGTACATCTGATTTTACTTCAAAGCAGAGAAAGAGATTAAATTAAAGAGAGCAGCTCTAAATGAGCAGCTTTAGTTTAATATACCATATGAAAACAACCGGAACTAATCAATGCCGACACAACCAACCACAGACATCTGTGAGCAAATTAAGACTAATTGGGTCCCAGTATGGAATGGAGAACATCCATGGACTACGGGGAGAGGTTAGAGACCAGGTCTCCAAGTCATTCCCAACAAGAGACGTACCCTGGCCACGCGCAGACCGAATCGCGTTCGTTTTCGCCAACACACTTGGTTTGGTCTCAAGTCCGTGTAACGTTCATTCTCCCGTTTCTTGTCTTCCTTTAATGACACAGCTGACAACGATTTAGAGTTTTATTGCCATCTTCTCCGAGGCAGCTTGAACCCAAAGGAATTTCCAACTTATGAATACATAAAATTCGTAGGAAATTTTCGCTCCTACAACAATGGTAAGCTTTAATTGTCGTACTGGTGACAGTGTTTTTGAGCATGCACACGTGCACATGGGAGTCTAAGAATCAGCCAGGGAGGAGGAGGGAGAATGTGTGTTCCTATTTGCATTTGGATTTTCCTGTTCCCAGGATGTGTTTTTTGTGCTCATCAGTGCCCGCTCCCGTGAAAGAATACACTCCCATGCCTGTGGGTGCCAGTGCACACAGCCCCGCTGAAATGCATGTTACTCGTTCATTTATTTTCAGGCTGATACAATAATTCTGTACTGTGAGAAACAACTTACAGTTAATAAAGAGCAGGCTCAGCCTACACACTGCGCCAAACAGGCCTTGATGGGACATGAAGATCGGTAACCTCACTTTTGCACTTTCATCCTCCTCTTTCCGTTCCTGCTGTGAGCATGTTTTAATTGATCTGGTTCATAGGTCTGCTGCTCTCTGTGGCCCTAAAGCACCAGAAGGGGGCCGATTTACAGTGAGCCAGTAAGCTGCCTTGGATGAAGGAGTGACGAAGCAGGAGAAGCCAAGTAGTAAAGTCTTATTTTCTAAAATTACCCACATAATGAATTACCCAGACTCTGGCTGCAGAGATAGCCACTGGAAACTGGGCTTCCATCGTCATTTTCACATTGACCCGTGCAAAATGGAAATGCAGGCTTGGTGCCAGAAATTCCCAGCCCAAGTCCCATTGGGCTAAGCACAGTCAGGCCTGTGTTGTATTTGCTGCGCTTCTCAAAACTCAACACAAGACGAACAACTCTTGACAGAGCTGACATTTTCTAAAACAGCAAATATGGGGAAAAGAAGGAAGAAAGTAATGATGGGGATGAGAGAAAGAGAGAAGAGAAAAATACCAAAGGCCAACCAAGACAGAACACTGAACTGCAGGCAGGGGGAGGGTTGGTGGGAGACGAGAGCAGCTCTCATTTTTGCTGCTTTAGTTACTGTTGTTTAACTCTGGACCATGACGGGTCTATCTATTACCCAGTCAAATGAGTCCCAGAGTTGCCATCAGAACCAGCCACAGCAATAACACCAAGTCCTAACGCTGACTCTAACCAGGATTTTTCCTTCAGTCTCTGATGACCCCCAGTCTGCATAAATATACATGCTTTGCTTAAAAGGTTCCAACCAGATGTTGGACAGCCTCTTCCTGCCAGAACAATGTTAGGGCTTATGCCAGGATGCAGGGCTCCGTGGCCAACCCAGAGGCCCGTCTGGGAACTACCCCATCCAGGGCTTTGGGTGCCTGACTGGTTGGAAGTGATGGGAGGTCCACTTTCCCAAGTGGGCCCCTAAATCTGAGCAAAGCAAGATGAAGCCAAGGCCTGGCCATACCTAGTCTGACTCAGCTGAAAGGCTTGCCGAACCTTCGTGAGACAGACATTTAATGAACCACACAAAGAAATGAGTGGTAGTTCATTGGGCTGCCCACTCAAATTGGTCTCCCAGTACCTCATAGAAAACCCGGCAACATGCCAACCCTACTGTAGTGGTTTTTAGGGTGAGGCAACTTGTTAAATGCAGATTCTCAGGTCTGGTTCAGGAGATCTGAGGGTGGAAACTAGGAATGCACAGTTGGAAAAGACTGGCTGTTTCTGAGGTGCTGGACTTTGAGACGCACTGCCCTTAGTGTGAAGCCAAATGCCATTCCATAGAGATTTTAATGGCAAAGAAAATGCTTTAATGGATACAACAGCATTATTGCAATTTAAAAAGGCATTAAAAATTAAAACATCTTAAAGACTTTCAGACAACTTTATTGTTGAGTTAATAGAAGGAGTGGTCTGGAATTGGCTTAAAATGCCTAAAACTAGGGACCAACAGTTGGCATAATGGCTATGTCGCTAGAGTCCCACGTGGTTGACCGTGGTTCGAGTCCCAGACCCAGTGGCTTAAACTCATGTCGGGCAAGTGTGCGTGTGTGCCCAAGATCCCGAGAGGAGAATAGAGGAGAAGGGATTGCGGTGTGGCCAGCTGGGGGGATGATTTCTCGCTTTCTGTCTCTCTGTCCATCTCTGTCTTTTTGGCGAGTACTCGTGCCCTATAGCAAACACTTCTCAAAAAAATAAATAAATGAAAGGCATAAAACTACCATAGAACCCAGCAATTTCATTCTGGGTTTATACGCTAAAGTGAAAGGGGTTTGAAAAGATATTTGCATCATTCTCAGCAGCATTGTCTGCAGTAACAAAAAGGTAGAAGCAACCCAGGAATCTTTCAGTGGATGAATGGGTAAAAAAAAAAAAAAAAAATTGGCATGCACCTACTTTTAGAATATTCAGTAGCCTTGAAAAGGAAGGAAATTCTGACACAGGTACACACAGATTTCCCTTGGGGATATTGTGCTAAGTGACTAAGCTGGTCCCCAAAGATCAAATACTGTTCGATTCCACTTGTATGAAGTACTTCGTGTAGTCCAGGTCATAGAGACAGAAAGCAGAATGGTGGTTGCCAGGGGCTAGAGGGAGGGGGAAATGTGGAACCCTTTACTGAGGACAGTTTCTGTTTTATGAGATGAAGAGTCCTGGTGGTGACAGCTGAACTATCGCAATATGAATGTACATACTACCCGGAACTGTACCCCTAAAGACGGTTAACATGGGACTAGCAGATGGCATAATGGTTACGTAGTCCACTGTGGTTTGAGCCCCGAATCCAGTGGCTTAAAACTCAGGCTGGATGCGTGTGCGTGTGTGTCCCAAGATCCTGAGAGAAAATGGAGAAGAGATTGCAGCACGGCCATCCCAGGGCTTGATTTCTCACTTTCTGTCTCTCTGTCTCTTTCTGCCTCTCCAGTGAGCACATGCGCCCTATAGCAAAAATCTCTCTAAAAAAAAAAAGGTTGAGATGATCAATTTTTTTATTTTAATTTTTTTACATTCAATGACTATATGTCTTTATCGTACACAAAGTGAATTTTCCCATCATGAATTCACTGTGTATTAGACCAGACAGATTACCATACACATTATTGTCAACAATTTGACATTTTCGTGTCCCTTGAATGTTTTGCCTCTTTTCTCCCCTTAACCCCCTCAGATGGGGGTCAAAAATATAAAAATACAAAATTTTTGTATTGGTGTGTTTTGCTGCATTTTTGTGTGTGTGATGCATGTGCTTTGGCCATAGTCTAGCTGTTGGGACAGCAGCATAGCCTCAGTGGCCACATGCATGGGGGAGGGCACCCTCGCACCCAGAATGCCAAGACTGTGGGAATTAGGAGGTGCTACTCATTGTTATGGGATGGTGGCCCGTGACAACAGTACACACAATTAAAAGAACGGACGGGTGATTGGCTGATGAACAGCTGTTGTACCCTTTGTGATTTGACACCTACACCTCTCATTAGTACATTGCTGAAGATCACTTTGAAGCAGCCTGTCATTTATCACCTCTGAGAGGATTTCAAGGAAATAGGCAGGTTTTATTCTGAATACCTGGGATTTTTCTTAACTAGCAAGGCTTTATTTTCATTTCAAGCTGAAACGTGTTTGTTTGCCTGAACAATTGTGTTGAATTATGTGTGATTTTGGAGGGGGGAGGTGGGGAAACGGAAATGTTAGTGTTATAAACACACGGCATTACAAGTGGAAATTTTCAAACCAAGAGTACAGATTGTCTTTCAAGAGCCTGTTGTACAAACCATAGTTAGAAGGACTTCCTTGTGTTCAGAGTCCCCAGATGTAACCATGGAACACATGAAATACAATGATAATTCAGATTAAAATAGACAGCAAAAACTGCCAGAGGTAAATGAATTTCTATGATCAATCCCTATAAAACTGCCAACACTTGAGCACTTTTGACCTATGGTTTAATAAAAGAAGCAAGGGACCAGTAGTTAGCGTAATGGCTATGTTGCTAGACTCCCATGTAGTTGACCACGGTCCGAGTTTTGGACCTGGTGGCTTAAACTCACACCCGGTGCGTGTGCCTGCATGCCCAAAATCCCGAGAAGAGAAAGGAGAAGAAGGGATTGCGGTGTGGCCATCCCCTCTGGGGGGTGATTTCTCGCTTTCTTTCTCTCTGTCTCTGTCTTTCTGGCGAGCGCACGCGCCCGGTAGCAAAAACCTCTCCAAAAAAAGAAATAATAATAATAATAAAAAAGAAATAAAAGAAATAACTCAGCCCCCACTGTAGTGGTACCAGGGTAGTACGCAGTTCTGCAGTGGTGACTACAGCGTATGGAAGACTGGGGAGGCTGGTTCCTTAGTTCACTTGCACATGCCAGAGGTGCACACATGTCTGTGATCCTGGCTGGCCAGGAAGGCTGTTGTGGGTGCTTGTCTTTGTTTCTCTCTCTCAAGAAACAAAATTGGGAAAAAAAAGAAAGAATTCTATTTTTTAATTTTATAATTGCTTGTTTGCATTTAATTGTTTTATATCTTTATGACATACAACATGGCTTTTCAAAGCATGCCAGGCAGTGTGTGCTGATCAGATCAATGATATCAACATATATGTTTTCAACAAAGAACCTTATGTTCTTGTGTCTATTAAATGCTTACTGCTTTTTTTCCTGCACTCTTCTCACTTATCCCCTACTAACCACCCCCTCCCATACAGTACCTGGCATCTACTACTATTGTGTCTTTAAATAGTTCCATTTCTGCCACGGAGTACATACATTTGGTACCTGTGGATCAGAGTAGATGGTGTTTACCTTTCATAGCCTGGCTTACTTTACTTAGCATGAACTCTTCTATAGTCATCCACTTTGTACTGAAAGACAGAGTCTCACGGTTCTTCATGTCTGAGTGATGTTTCATAGTGTATATGTGTCCCACTTCCTCAATCCAGTCATCAGTTGTTGGTCACTTAGGTTGATTCTGCGTCTTAGCAATTGTGAATAATGCTGCAGTAAACACGGGTGTGCAAGTGTCTCTCTGACTTCGTATTCTCCTGTCCTTTGTGTAAATACCTAAGAGTGGGATTGCTGGATTATATAGTAGTTTTATTCGTAAATTTTTGAGTAATCTTCACATTGCTTTCTA